ATTTTCTAATTTGATACTGAAGATATGATGAGATACAAAAGCATGCTTAAATTCATAATAAATTATTAGATAATATTACATGCGCTAAAGTTTTGCTTAAAAAATTGAATTAGTTATTAGAATACTAGATTTCATATGAAAAGAAACAAAGATACGTTTGTTGAGATTGAAAATTTGATAAAGATAATATTAAAATATTTAAATATATTTTGGATAATATTGATATTATCTAATTTGTTTAATTAGATAACATTAAAAGAGTTTGAACTTATCAAAAAACTGTTCTTTAGAAACTCGTGATCAACTTAGGAAAAATCATTAAAAATCTCGAAAATATTATTTAGACATCACACTAAAATGATCCTAAAAGTGAAAGTGAAAGGTCCTCCATGAAGATCATGTTAAATGTTGATCCAAACCTCTATTGAACATCAAGTCATTTGAACATGGAGACCCTTCAATGAAGAACAAACATATAAGCTCTTCTTTGAAGATCAAGCCAATTGAATTTCGGAAGTCCTTCAATAGAGTGTTCAAGGCATCCAATTGAAGAATCCTTCAATAGAGTGTTCAAGGCATCCAATTGAATAATCAGAAGGTCATCCAAAGATCTTGTACCCGCACGACATTTATACTCGTAAATTGGCATGCCCAGGGGTACAAGATCTCTAGCTAGATAGTCATCTGATTCTTCAATTGGATACCTTGAACACTCTATTGAAGGGCATCTTCAAAGAAGAGCTTATATATTTGTTCTTCATTGAAGGGTCTCCAGGTTCAAATGACTTGATCTTCAATAGAGGTTTGGATCAACATTTGTCACGATGGAGGGGCTTTCACTTGGATCATGATCATTTTATTGTGATCTCTGAATAATATTTTCGGGATGTTTACATAGAAATGTGAGCTTTATATATAGCGGTAGGATAGAAGAGTTTTGATAGGTTCAAACTCTTTTGATATTATCTAATTAAACAAATTAAATAATATCAATATTATCCAAAATATATTCAAATATTTTAATATTATCTTTATCAAATTTTCAATTTGAACAAATGCCCTTGAAACTTGCTTGTACGCCACTTGAGAGCATATATCACTCAAAAGTTCATGCAAGGAAGTCTCGACACTACAATTAAAGATATAAGGTTGTTTCAACTCGTGTCAAGGAGTATCTTGAAAGATATGATTCGTTTCAACTCGTGCCAAGGAGCTTTGAGGGATATGAGGCCGTTTCTACTCGTGCCAATGAGCCTTGAAGGATATGAAGCTGTTTTAACTCGAGCCAAGGAGTATCGTTTAGCTTCCTCCATTTCAAATTTCATACAGGGTTTGCCCCCATATCGGTTGAAACGTATGTGTCTATGACGAGATGAGAGGTAGAGCTGTCCCACTGGGCGTGTCAATTTGTGAACAAAGAAAATTGAATTATATATATTGAAATTCAAAATTCTAGTTTACAAGAAGTATAAATGTGGTGCGGGTACAAGATCTCTAGGTGGTCCTCTAATTCTTCAATTGGATGCCTTTGAACACTCTATTATGTTTGTTCTTCATTGAAGGACATTCGGGTTCAAATGGCTTAATCCTCAATAGAGGTTTGGATCAACATTTGGCATGATCTTTATGGATGTGCTTTCACTTTCACTTTCATGATCAGAATCTCTGAATAATTGTTCTGGGATGTTTACATGATTTTTTTTTTCTAAGATGATTAATGAGAGCTCCTGTTTATAATCAAGATAAGAAAAATTTTGATAAGTTCAAATTCTTTTGATATTATCTAATTAAACAATTAGATAATATCAATATTATTCACAATATATTAAAATATTTTTATATTATCTTTATCAAATTTTCAATGTCAACCGCTTTAAAAATATTAATTTATTATAATGGTTGTCTAATTATATTTGATTAATAAATAATGGTGTACAGAATTAACCAATTTATAAGTAATTAATAATAAATATATGTAATTTAAAATCTCATTAGTGTAAATAAATAAGGAGTAATGTTTTTCATCACGATTCACGTGGTTTCCATCAAAATCATAGTTTGAAAGCATGTCCTTAATTTATTTGATTTTCTTTAATGTATTTGGGATGATTTACATGATTTAATGGTGAACATGTTTTACATTTACAACGGTACTCTGATAAGCATGTTTTGCATGGCGGAGCGGCTAGTTGTTCACAGGCTGTATTTTGCTTTTCTGATTTAGAAAAAAATTCACGATCATTATTTAAAAGTGTATTTTGATAAATTCTGTCTTGTAACCCTCAGTTGAAGTTACTCATGTATTTTGCTTCTTGATCATTGGGTTTGTATGTTTTGAGTATACTTTTTTTATTTAAAGATTATTGAGTTATGTATTTATGTTTGATGTATAATTTTTAGTTGTGAATTTAAGTTTTATTACATATTTTTATGGATTTACTCCGCGGACCTTGTATTTTTTTTTACTCCGCGGACCTTGTATGATTTATCGTTGAACAATAATATTGTTCTCATTGTATTGCAATCGTTATACCCTACACCACGGCGCGCGTAGCACTGTGCGCCGCGCGCCTCCCAAAACGACGTCGTTTTGGAAGGCGCGGTAGGAAGTTGCTGTGATTATGTATATTTGTTCATACAGTTATGTATATTTGTTCATACAGTTATGTATTTTTTTTATACAATTATGTACATTCTTTTTATACAATTATGTACATTCGAATCAGAAAATTTGTGTGTATTATGTTAAGAGTTGATGTGTATTATGTTAAAAGTTTATGTTTATTATGTATTATGTTAGATTATGTGTATTATCTTTTAAAAAGAGTATGTATATTTTGTTATATAATTATGTACATTCATGTATACAATTATGTGTATTCTAGTATAACATTATGTACATTTTTGAACAGGATTTTTTTTTAAAGAAAAATTAACTGCCATACACTGGGGCGGGGAATTAAAAATAAAAAATAAAACGACGTCGTTTTGCATCTGGACGCACACTGCAACGCGCGCCGTGGTGTAGGATATAAATTGCCATTGTATTGATAATACCTTCTGAGATGTCAAAACGGGCCAGCTTGGCTCATATGGGCTAGCCCATCTCGGATTCATTCAAAATCGAATCGGTTCGAATCATTTTTACACAAGACCCAACCCGTGTTGGGTCGCAAATTATGCTGTGCAACCGAATGCACCATGCGCATATTGCATACGATGCAAAACGACGTCGTTTTGGTTAAAAAACGCGCGTCCCACTTAAAAAAGAAATCAGGTTCGATTCCCGGCAATAGCATTTTTATATATCCATAAATTCATAACTATATATCCACAAATTCATAACTATATATCCACAGTGAATGAATGAAGTAAAAATTCACAATGAATGAACTAAATATCCCCAATGAATGAACTAAATATCCACAATGATTGAACTAAACATCCACAATGAATGAACTAAATATCCATAAATTCATAACTATATATCCAGAAATTCATAACTATATATCCATAAATTCATAACTATATATCCACAGTGAATAAATGAAGTAAATATCTACAATGAATGAACTAAATATCCACAATGAATGAACTAAATATCCATAAATTCATAACTATATATCCAGAAATTCATAACTATATATCTACAATAATGCTATTGCCGAGAATCGAACCTGAATTTTTTTTTTTTTTAAGTGGGACGCGCGTTTTTTTAACCAAAACGACGTCGTTTTGCATCGTATACACCATGTGCATGGTGCATTCGGTTGCACAGCATAACTATTGGTGTTGGGTAGGCTGACATATTAAACGGACCAACCCGTCTATTTATTTTTAAATTTATATTGTTAAATTTTTTAAATTTTTATATAGCTTAAGAATCAAACTTTCAACCTCTAAGTTAACAACTAACACTATTTCTAGCCAAGCATATTAAACTTTTTGAACAAATACCATGTATGTTTACACATACACATAATTAGATTTTAATTTTTAGTGTATATATATATATATATATATATATATATATATATATATATATTAATTTATATTTAATATTAATATAGTTTACATGTAATATTTTTATTTTGTAATTATAATATTAGTAAGTTATAAAGTTTATAAAAGATATAGTTTATATTCCGTAACTTTATATAATTTATATAATAAATAAACTTTATATTAATATTAATATTTATATAAAGATACAATTAATTATATCAATTAATACGTATAAATGTAATATAAATAACTTTTATATATAGTGCTTTTGAATGATCTAAATAAATACGGAGTATATAATAATATAAAAATGTTCATGTGTCTTTAGCATGGTTGATTTTAATAGTGATACTTTAAATGAAAAGTCAATGATTCAAGTCTTATTAGTAACAACATTTTAAAATATTAATATAATACTTAATTATACAACAAATTCAAGAGTAAGACACGAGTTAAATGGACTGAATTAAAAATTCTCTAACCCAATCCGTCTAAAATACAGGTTAAATGGGTCAACCTGACAGCTCTCTAACAATTAGCCATTATTGGATTGTACTAATGATTTTTCGGTCCAGGTTGCGGCTAATTAACAGAGAATACAGAGTATCATTGTGCATTCAATTGTTATACCATGTACCAGAACCTACTTTGATTAAAAAATTATGCATTTATAATTAATATATTATGTGACGTTAATAAGTTATATGCCTATAAATAAATTAAAAACACATAATATGTTAACATATTATGATTATGTACATGTAGTTAACATATTATGTATTTTCAATTTATTTATATGCACATAATATATTAATTATATACACATAATATGTTAATTGTAGACACATAATTTAAATATCATTTAGGATCGAAATTCATAATGCAAGGTAGATCCTAATCCATAATATAATTTGCCATGTGCATTAAGCCTAAGTTAATCTATATTTATGTTACATTAACTTCAAAAATTGTCAACTCTTGCTGGGCCTTGTGCATTAAGCCGAAGTTAATCTATATTTATGTTTTATTAACTTCAAAAAATGCCAACTCTTGCTGGGCTAGGCTTAATTCCTCCCAATCAGTTCTCAATTTCTTCTTTTTTTACAAGGGATACAAAATATACATTAGGAAGACAACTGACTAATACACCTTTTGTACCTAAGAAAGGAATGAGGGTAAAATGCAAATCTTTTTTTTTTTTTTTTAATGTTGTGTTTTTCAACATTTTATAATTAATTTTGCTCCAATGATCCTACTCTACAGTAATTTCCAGTATTGTGGTAAGTCTTGGCTTTTTGTATCTCTTGAGAAGCAGAGAAGAGCACACAACACTAACAGAAGACATGGCCATGCATGCACCAGCCACCCACGGCGGCATCTCCACTTTTACCAGAGGAAAGAACGCCCCTGCAGCTATAGGGATGGCAACCACGTTGTAGGCCATGGCGAATACGTAGTTCATCCTGATGCGGGCTATGGTCTTTCTCGAGAGATCAATGGCGGTAATCACATCCTCCAAGTTGCTCCTCATCAGTATGTAGTCTGCAGCTTCGATTGCGATGTCTGTTCCGGCCCCGATTGCCATCCCGACGTCAGCAGCAGCTAATGCAGGAGAGTCGTTGATGCCATCGCCCACCATTGCGACGACACTTCCTCTCTTCTGGAATGAGCGGACTACGTCTGCTTTTCCTGCTGGCATCACTTCTGCTCTAACATCATGAATACCAACCTGCAGGGAACATAAACTATGGTTCATGTCTATAGTTCAGTAGCTTTAGTTTTTGACTGTATGGCAATTCAAAACTTCAGTTTAAACACTGTTTATCATGTGAGCTGAAAATGTCAAACCATAGCAGCTAAATGTGCACAAAGGCTTGATTCTGTATTTCTACGGTGAAGTATGAAGCTACAAACTTCTTAGTTTCTTCTACTCTTGATGAACTATAATTTGATTAAAAAGTGGTTCAAATGTTCTTATATACAAACCTCCTTTGCAACAGCTCGAGCTGTTCTCCAGTTATCGCCAGTGACCATGACAGGATTGATGCCCATTTTCATGAGGCCTTCCACAACTACAGCAGCTTCTCTCTTTAGAGGGTCTGATATCCCCATGACACCTATTACAACATTGTCATAGGCCACCAAAATGCCAGTCTTTGCACTCTCTTCCAATTCTACAACAAAATTTTCTACGTCTTTTGATATACTTATTCCATTTTCAGTCAGCAGCTTCCGGTTACCAACCTGTTTGATTCCAAGAAACATCAATAAGGAAACCTTTCACTTTCCACTCTTTGCACAAAAGCAACTGTGACATATACTCACCAAAACTTTTTTTCCGCCAATGAAGCACTGTACACCTCTTCCAGGCAATGCAGAGAAATCTGAGACATCATGCAGCCATCCAGAGAACTTGGACTTTGCTCCATGACTTTGTGTAACCTTGGTATTTGAAGGTTCATCAAAGAAATGGAAATGGCGGGCATATTCCAATATTGCTTGACCCAATGGATGTTCACTGCTAGCCTGCATCATGATGAATAATGATCTGAGATGTAATATATTGCCAGAATATTCCTTTAGGACTTTTACTCTAGCCCCAAACTGCAAAACCTCAGAATGGAGGTCTCCTCTCTCTATATATAATCATGTTATCAACTCAAAAGTGATCACTTCCCAGCATCAAAATCTTAATTCTTCTAAGCTTTTCTGTTAAGAGCTGTATATGATGGAATAAAAAGGAGTATACAGATGCAGCAAACTAAAAATGTTAGTTTGAGATGCTACCTCTGCAGAAGCTACCAATGTAAGGAATTCTCCTTTATCCATTCCTGTGAAAACTTTTGCAGTTGCGACTGTTGCTTTACCCTGGGTTAGAGTGCCAGTTTTATCAAATATTACATGTTCAATCTTCTGTGCCCTCTCTAATGCATCACCTCCTTTTATCAACACGCCATTATTGGCACCAACTCCAGTTGCAACCATAACAGCGGTTGGGGTTGCCAAACCAAGTGCACATGGGCAAGCAATTACCACAACTGATATTGCAAACATGAGTGCAAAAACAAAATAATTGCCATTTTCATGTAACCATTCTTTTGGATAGGCTCCAACAGCCCCAGCAAGATACCTAGCATAATTGACAAAAAGCACAGATGATTTCAGATCATTAAAGAAAATCATTTTGCAGTAAAAGAGAGTAAAATTTGAAAAGGATCTTTCTGGACTGATTAATATTGAAGTTAAAGCATACCATCCTAAGAATGTCAGCAATGAAAGAGTAACAACTGCAGGAACAAAAACGCTTGCAATCTGTAAGTCATAAAATACCCAAAATAAGACATCTGAACTAAGGCAAACAGTATAAGCAAAAACACACAATGTGGAATAAAAAATCTGCACAGTTAAAAAATTTGGTCTGCAATACAGGAAAAGGTACTCACATAATCGGCAAACTTCTGAATAGGCGCTTTTGACATCTGTGCAGTCTCAACCAGAGATATAATCTGACTCAAAACTGTGCTAGACCCAACTTTGGTGGTCTGTATGTGAAGCACACCATGCAAATTTATTGTACCTCCAATAACTGAAGAACTGATCTCTTTTGAAACAGGGACAGATTCACCAGTGACCATACTCTCATTGACATAGCTTGAGCCCCATACAACTGCACCATCAACAGGAACTTTTGTACCGGGAAGTACTTTTAATATATCACCAGGTTGAATCAACAATGCATCTATTTCTCTTTCTTCTACAATTTTTCCACCTGAAACACATTGAATACGTGATCATCAAAATATTGACTCAAATTTAAGCTATAAAATGATTTCTTTTTGTTTTTGTACATTTGTCATTAGTTGTTTATTCCAAGTTCCAACATTGCAAAAACCCAAATATGTACTAATATGAGGCACAATAGAGAACTAGACTAGACAATACATATTTTGTTATGAAGAATACCTTTGTCTTTGGCAAGCAATATAGCTGTTGCTGGTGTAAGCTCTACAAGCTTTTTGATTGCATCTGATGTTTTTCCCTTAGCCAGAGTCTCCAAGTACTTCCCCAGAAGCACAAATGTGATTAACATAGCACTTGTTTCAAAGTAAGTTGGGGGCCAATATCCTTCAATTGCACCATAAAGTAGTGCACATACAGAGTAAACATATGACGCTGTAGTTCCCAACACAACTAGGACATCCATGTTTGTTGAGCCATTTCGAAGTGCTCTTCCAGCTGCAACATAGAAACGCTTACCAATAACAAACTGAACAACAGTCACCAAGGCCCACTTCAGCCAATCATCCATTTTGAAAGGACCACAGCGTCGAAGTAGTATAGCATAGATCAAAGGAATATGGGGGCAGACTACACGCATTAGAAGTACAGGAACCTGATTACAATTTATAGTGTTAAAATTTCTAACAGGAGATGTGCAAAGTCAGTGACTACCATGAAATACATTGAGAGAATAATAGGATATATTAAAGAAATGCCATATACCAATCAATTTTTCATTTCATTCAGGAATTATGAATATTCTTTTTTTGTTTTTTTTTTTTTTTTTTTTTTTCTAAAAAATATACAAAAAGGATGCTGAATAGCATCCTTCAGCTTAATTTTGCATTTTTGTAGAATATCTTTAAACATTCTACTTAAAGGGATGGCCCTTGCTAGCTAAACAGCCAAAGAGGGGAAAAGGAGATTGAAGACATGAGAAGAGTGAGTAGTGACAATGTGCAAAAGCGAAATACACATAATAAGCAAGAAAAAGATAATGACTCACACTAAGCAATAAGCTTGCTGTGAAAAGGCGAAACATGCTTGAGGATTCTTCAATATCTCTAGAAGCCATTCTTGTATAAGGATTCTTAACATGTAATGTAAATTTGCCACCACTTCCCCCATTAATGCCATCAACTACAGATCTTGAACCAAGAACCTCAGGATCAAAGACAACTTCTAGCTCTCTTGATGTGGGGTTATAAAAAAAGTGTCTCACTCCGTGCAACTTAGACAAAATGCCTTCTAACAATTGCATATCCATTTGACCAGAAATTCCAACAACTCCTAGTATGATTTTATCCTGTGCACTACTCTGCATCAATGAACCTTCAAAACCAGCATCTTCAATTGCATTGACAATGTCATTTTTACTGATAACAGTTGGATCATATTCAACCTCCCCCACTGATGTAGCCAAAGCAACCACTGCTCTTTTTACACCTGGAAGACTACTCAGGATACCTTCAACAGAGTTTACACATGCTGCACATGTCATACCACCTATCATGAACTGTCCGGACACTGTTCCATTTGTGTTGGCATGAGATGCATTGGGTTCAGCTAGAACCTCTGCCTCAAATCCTGCATCTTCTATGGCATTCTCAATATCTTTATCCTGAAACAAAGGGAAGAGTATTACATCAAATTCAAAGATTGATAATGCAACAGTTCAAATAGGAGAAAAAAAGGGTGACATTTGTTTGCATACCCCAATCTTATGCACAACAAAGAAATTATTTACAACAGGCAAAGTAATAGCTTCCAATGGATCACAATCATATAATACTGAGATAAAATGGACAACTATATGTCATAAAGAACTACTGAGATTACAATTACTGACCGGTGAAGTATAATAACAGAGATAGTAACTTACACGCAATTATTTTCATTCCCAAAATGAGTTCAAAATAAGCTGATCATAAATCATGAGCCATCACACCAAAACCTCACAACTACATCAATAGCATGACCACACCACATTTATCACCATACTAAACTAAAAAAAAAATAAACTCTGAAGAAAGTCAACTAAACGCCTATAATTGAAATATATGTTCATGAACTTAGCATACATTTTCTAATTTTAAATTTCGAACAAAATAGGATGCTTAACAAAAGCAGAGAGATCTTCAAAAAAAAAAAAAAAATCAAAACAAAAGCAGAGAGAGAAGAGTGGACCTTGACCACGTGAGGATCGAAAACCACATCAGCTTTATTCTGAAGAAGAGCAACGGAAGCCTTAACGACTCCATTTAAGGACATGAGAGCTCCTTCGACGGAGGTGGAGCAGGCGGCGCACGTCATTCCCGTGACTCTAACCTGAATTCTCCTCAAATTCTCCCCGGAATTCTCCTCGTCGTAAGAATCCAGTAGCCGTACCTCCTCACAGTCGCCGAAATCCTCCTCCGACGAATTTCCGTTCGTCGCCGTCATCTGAACGTCCCTCATGCTCGGCGACATTTCAATGAACTTCACAAAACCCTCCCCCCTCGGAAAACCTCAAAGCCTATATATATATATATATTTATATATATAGGCCTGTATGTATGTATATATGTATATATATGCCTCTCTCTCTCTCTTCTTTTATATAGCAAAAAGAAGTATTATTTTAGAGAGAGGCGAGATCGAGGAAGGAAAACTGTGGGCAACTGGAAGAGAGGAAGGAAGGGGAAGACAGATTTTGTAATAAGAGCTGGGAGAGAGTCAGAGAGATAAAATAATGTTTTTTGTGAAATGACTAAAAAGGGCTTGGAAAATGATGGCGTAGCAAATTAGCACTTGTACTTCATGTTGTACTACATTACTCTTCATATTTACCCCAACTCAATATTCTATATTTTTTAAAAGATTTATTTTTCCTCATGTACTTCTAACAAAGCATAATATCTAATCTAAAAACATAATAAGTCACAATCAAAGTTATATCCCTAATTTATATCCATGTTTTTAATGCTAATCAATTTGTACATTGTGCTTTTAGAGTTGTATTATATAATTTTTTGGACAAAAATACCCCTACCGTTATAACTTCCGTTATCTTTTCCATTATTGTTATCATGCACATGCATTCCCAGTAATTCATCTCCCATGAAATTGCAATTCATATCCCACGTAATTCTCTCCCTCCAACCAAACGCTCCGTTAAGTGTTAATTGTTACTAATTTTTATCATTGATTTTCAATCTAATTATAATTGGTCATTGACTATTGATTTTTTTTCTCCATATTTGATCCTTTGGTTAAATATTCGTTTAGTATGAGTTAAATTTAAGCATAAGAATGTAATAGTTAGCAGAATCGCCTCTCCAGATTTACATATTTAAGGATAAGTAGAGACTTATCAATAATATGGTTCAAATTTGCTTATGCACTAACCTCTTCTTTACTTTCTTATTAATGATAAACCTAGTGTATGAAGTTTATAAACACAAATTTGTCATCTCAGCACCAAGCTAATTCTCATATTATTACTCTTAAATTTAATGCTTACTAAATAGATATTTAACCAGATAACAAATTGTGTAACAAAATTAATTGTCAAGAATTGTGAGTTTTGTTTATATTTAGTACGTTCACGAGAATTGGGAAGTTTTTTATGGTTAAGTTGCGATAGTATCAAGGGATGGAGGTTGGGGCAAAGAAGGAAATTGGAAGAAAGTAAAGGGCATTGAATTGGTCAATGATTAAGAAGGATTTTTTTGAGGGGATTAGTTGAGGTTTCAAGACTTTCAACCTTCTGGTGGTTTAGGTTAACAAATTTGCAGGAGTGCAATTCAATTTCTGGAAGACTTTTTTTTTTTTTTTTTTTTTTAATTCCTTTTTATGTTATCCATTTCTGTCAATTTCAGTTTGTACAAGTATACCTACTAAACATGTCTTGACTCTTGTGTTTCATGATGATAGAGTTTTAATTAAAAAAAAAATTATTGTTAATAAAATTCATGTTTCACACATTTCACTATTGTTTTTAGGTTGGTATTGGGAGTATTTGGTAAATAGCTGTTAATTGATTGGGTTAGTGAGTTTGATTAGTTAATATCATTAGTTGATCGTAGAAAGATGTTTGATAAATTAGTTGCTAGTTGATAGCTATATAAAATGACTTTTTCAAAATTTTAGTATTTTGGAACAATAAGCTGATACCAAAAAAGTTAAATAAACAAAACACATATATTAATTGTTTAACCAAGTCAAACAACTAATAGCGGTCAAACAAGTCAAAATTTACCGATAAACTAACTATTTTACCAAACAGGGTCATTGATAAAGTTAACATGGAATCAATTTACATGGAACAAATTTTTAATTTATAGTAGAAGCATGTGTTCCATCTCACTTAAAACCTAAGCTAATAGTTGAATTGTACATTAGTGGTTACATGATCAACACGCCTCTGGTTCCTCACGTGTGCGGGGGTCGATTACTTTTGGGTTCCAAGCAACACGTGACCATAGCCTTTTTTTTGTATCTGGTGATGCACAAATTTTAATTTTTAAAAATTATAATTGAAGCATGTGCTACATCTCAATTAAAAGTCTAAACTAATAGTTGAATTACACATTAATAATTACATGTTCAACAATTATTTTTTTATTTTTATTTTTTTGTTTATATAGTAGCTTTATACGATTAACATATGTATGTTCATCATTCATGCCAAAATAAGGAACCCAGTCTAGCCGCGTCTGCTATGCATCACGGATTTTTTTCTTTCTACGGCGGCGTTGACTATTAGGTCAAATCTTGAACTTTTCATAATCCCTATAAATCATACATTATTTATTACACGCCCTATCTGGCAAAACAAAAAGATGTTGGGTCTATGATTGGTTTAAACATCGAATTAAAATAAAATATTCAATAATTATAACAAATTTTAGTAAAAAAATTCCAATCAAACAATTGTCATGCAAATAAATTCTGAAAAGGAGAAAATTACACTTTTGGTCCTATGACTATAGTGGATGTGGTAATTTCAGTTCGTGACTTTTAAAATTAACAGATTTAGTCCTTTTAGTAAGTTTTTTTTGACACATTGAGTCCTTCCGGCTAATTTGCCGGTAGAAATCCGCCGGAATTGCGATTGGACTTGTTTATTAATTATTTTGGAGGGATAAAATCGTCCGTTCATGTCATAGAAAAGGGGGAAAAACGACTTCCCATTTCCCACTTTATCTTCTTCTTCTTTCTCTTCTTTCTCATCAAAATTCTCAACTTGATCTTCATTCCCACACCTGTCATCAAAATTCTCAACTTGATCTTCATTCCCACACCTGAAAACCTCAAAATCCGACCATTTTTCTTCAGAATTCTCACCCTTCTCCCCATGATCTGCCTCAACCTTCTGCCCCTTTGATCAACTGATCCCATGAAGATTTGATGACAATATAAGGAGACCCAAAAGTGGTGCTTTCCAAACCCACACCACAGCAAGAACACTTTTCCCCATTCTCCACTTCTTTCATCCATGGAAGCAGCCTGAACCCGTGGGAGAAGCCATGAAAATCCTCCATAGATTCAGAGCAGTCCCCACACATGGCCTTAGATTCAACCAATCTACAGTGGGTCTCGCAGAACCCCAATCTGGAAACCTCTCTGGAATGGGATTCGCACAGGAATTTCTTCTTCTCCGCCCTGCAGCACCAGAAACAGGGCGACTTGAGCCCGAAATAGTCAGCGAACTTGACGATCAAGTAGGAAAAGAGGGAATTGAGAAGGAGCAGGCATATGAGAGTCCACTCCAAGACTGCGTAGATGAGAATCATGGTGATCTTGTTAGTATTCCTGTGTAACATGGTCGCAAACTTGTTGGCCGCCATTGTTGATGATGCTCTGTTTCTTGAAAACACAGAGAGCGGAAAAGCGGTGAGATTGCAGTGGGGCTTTGAGGGAGGTGCCCTGATTAAATGTTGGAGTTTTGGGTTGAACGGACGATTTTACCCCTCCCAAAGAATTAATAAACAACTCCAATCGCAATTCCGGCGGATTTTTACCGGCAATTTAGCCGGAAGGACTCAATGTGTCAAAAAAAAACTTACTAAAAGGACTAAATCTGTTAGTTTTAAAAGTCACGAACTGAAATTACCACATCCACTATAGTCATAGGACCAAAAGTGTAATTTTCTCTTCTGAAAAGCTATTACTATTGCCCAACTTAGAGGATGTTCGGTACTTTCTAACTTATTAATTCAATTATTGAGAAAATATGTTTGGTGTTATCCGAAAAAGATAAGAATTAAATTACTTAGAAATTTAATTAAGTAGTAGTTTGTTTAAATTTTTTAAATTAATTTTTTTAAAGATATAATTGCTATATATAAATATTATAAAAAACATAACGAATAATTGAGAGGTTAATAAATCATATGTCAAAAGATTTTAGTATGCAACAAGAATATTCAAAATTCAAAACAGTAAGTATGTAAAAAAAGTGTTGAGAGAGACAAAATTTCTTTAATGGAAAAGACATACAAAATTCTTATATGTATAAGAGACTTTTAATTTAGGCCAAAATGATTAACTATGTAATTGAATAAATTTGGTGGTGAAAAGAAAAGAAAAAAAAAAAAGAATTTTACCTCTCCTAATCGGGATTTATTTTTCTTCTTCTTCTCTCAAAAAGTTGAATCGCAACCCCAAGAGTCCCACACTTCGGCCCGACAGAGCATAAGTAATTTTTTGAATATTAGCATTTTGAAACAAATAAGTTGTTACAAAAAGCTAATTAATCAAACATTTATATTGATTATTTAATCAGGTCAAATAGCTAATAGTGGTCAAATAAACTAAACTTGACTGATAGACTAACTATTTTACCAAAAAGTGCCTTAAACTTTCCTAACTACCAAACGCGGTATTACCATCAAGAGCAAAAGGGCAGTTTTGGTATGTAATTTCGCAGGTTGTAAGTAAGGCGTGTTAATATGGTCACCGCCGGCGTCGGACGCCGTTAGCCATTCGTTTTACGTTTTTTAGCTTCTTACGAGCACGCAACCTGTTCGACTGTTCATCCCAAATCATATAATGAACTCAGAAAAATATTTTTAATTTAAAACTAAAGTATTTATTGGGATTTGTATAATTATGAAATGATAACTATATACTATTTTCCTTCTAGACCATTTCTTTTAAGGACCCACAAATGCTTGATCCTGAGAAGAAAACTATGAGAACATGTTTCTCAATAAAAATAATAATAATAATAATAATTATTATAATAATAATAATAATAATAATAATAATAATAATAATAATAATAATAATAATAAACTGAATATCTACACCACATTTATAATTAATTAATTAAAGTGTTGTTTGAACTTTGAAGTAGAAAGTTTGTCATACCTTTTACTTTAATATAAATTATACTCCGTATTAGATAAATCCATAAACTTTCATTTATAATGAAGACTTTTGCGGGTATGTTTGATTGGATATATAGTATATTATTTAGTGTT